AACCTCCATTTAATAAATTTTCATTTCAGAGGGGAAGTATGAGGATTACGGGAAACCTTTTTCCTGAATGTGCTCGGAAGCTTGCGCGCTGAAACAAAATTAGAGTCGCACCTTCCTTTGCGACTGTCTCTCGTTAATGAACACCTCCCGTTAGCGACCACTTTTTCAAAATACCAAAAGTTTCCAAGTTCGATCCCAATAAATGGAACCTCTCGTAAGTGACCACCTCTCGTGATCGACCTCTCTTAGAGATTCTCAAACTCCCGTAGGAGACCACTTGACAAACAATCGGTTTTTCTCTCACGAGCGGAAACTGAAAATTGTTTCAACATATGTTGTTAAAGTAGAGCCACCGGAAGAGCTTCCCGAAATGGCTTTACCGCGTGAATTTTTGCTTGTGTTCGGTTCCCACTGAAATTTGGACAGCACCACTTAGAATAACAAACCAACCAAGTTTCCTTCACGAGAATTGTCCCAAACGCGCTGTATTAAATAATATGTGAGATACAAAATAATCGCCATAGATCATAAGTTCTTTTTTTTTTTTTGCCGGAAAGGGTCTGGTCACCATATGAAAATTACTCGAGATATGGAACCCGGTAAGCGACCACCTTCCCTAAGAGATCACCTAGACTCGACATTTCGGATGGTCGCTTGCGAGAGGTTCAACTGCATTTGTGTCGCCGAGAATAATAAAATTCAGAAACATACAAACTGATTAAGTCAAGCGCTATAAATATTACGGTCAAACTCACATGATAATAAGGATATCAAGTGTCAGAGTAGTTTAGGCCCTTGGGTTTCACATTTGAGGATTCCAGCTCTAAATGTTACAGTCATTGACTCAATTGGGTTCGTCTTTTGAAATCCCAGCGTTAAACAACTCGGCAGCGCATTACGATTGTAGCTGAGATTTTCTTTTAAAAAGTTAGTTTTGAATTTCCAGTTCATGAGTTTAATTTTCCCAAACAGCAAAGAAGAAAGTTATAGAAATGTACGATGAATGAATTTTTTTATGTAATATATTAAAAATTTACCCACCAAAACCATTGGAGTGAACAGAGTCGCCAACACCGCCCTGTTTGTCATTACCAGTATCACCACTTTCGTTCTGATAGATATAGTCAAGGTCCTTGTTCTTGAGACTCTTCCAGCCATGAATACTTTTCCATCCACACCAGTCTTGCGATATGTCACATGGACTGTCATCTAATTGATTCAATACTGGATCAACAACAACAACAACATTTATTTAAACACGATAAAAATTACAGCGGAGCTGATGTGGTCGTGTATTTAATAATCAACCTAATTATCCTAATTAACCTAATATGGTCGTGTATATATAAATTAACCTAATTAATTAATTAACCTTGATTCAAAATCAACCTAATTGACCA